TTAAAGTTAAAATTTTGACGAACTCCCTCAGAATAACGAAAACATGAAAATTATTTTAAAAAAATGTTTAATTTTTCTATTGCCAAGGATTGAAAATTCAAAACGAGTTATTTCATAATATGTAGTTTATACATCTACCAAAAAAAAAAATCTAAAATATCCATTGTACTATAAGTAATAAAATAAATTATACTTTAACAGAAACGATATCATAAAATATACTTTGCAATACATGTATAGGATGTCTTCGTTCAGAACCGTTTTTTGCATACAATGCTTTCATATCATGCTAAAATTTATCACATACAATACAATGACCCACTCGACACCTACAGAGCTTTCTTGCCCACCCTTTTAAATGTTAATATTGGACGTATTATTATAGTATTATATCTACCTACTGTATCTACTTACTATAGCTTGCATAATAATTGGTGTATGTAATTGGTAATTTTATTGTAGGTATTTCAAGTTTTATAAAGTTCTGCTGGACTCAAATTTTCTATGAGTCACGTGGGTCAGAGAGAAAACACATATTTTGCGCTGAAATAACTTTACAGAATAATAAGAATTTCTTCAGGACTTCAATGTAAAAATTGCCATTCTTCTGTAAATTTAAAATCCACAGTGCTTACTTAATCGCCAAATTGTGATCTGATGTACAAAAGTCAAAAATTGTAATTCTATGTACCTTAGTTAAGATGATAAAAATCAGGAAAAACTTTAATAATAATAAAATAAAGCTTCTGGATTTCAATTTTTAGCATGTAGATTTTTTCCCTTTCAGTTGATGGCTTTTCATTATTATTGACAGTAATAATATCTTTATGATACAACAGTTATAAACATTTTTGGATTCTGAGCGGAGCGAGGAAGCTATTGGTTTTACAATGGTGTTTATTTTATTTTATTTTATTTTATCCTGTATACACAATTTCTACAAGATGGAGTGCTTCAATTTCAACATATAGTACCTTATCTTTTAGAAAATTGGACCAGAATGGTACTTTAAAGAGGTCATTTTTCGATTTTCTCAATAGCTATTTAATGCCATAGAAAAAACCAACAACAAATTACGAAAAACCGCTAAAAATGGGATTTTAATTTCTAACGCTTTGTTTATCACCATAGAAACGAATAAAAAAAAATAATAGTATAATATTAATTCAACTTAAGTCCTAAAGGCTATAATAAATAATACAAATTTAAAAATTCAAGACTGAAAAACCGTCTCCGCTCAGAATCGTTTTTCTTACCCAATGATATTATATCATTGAATTCAAGTTTAATACAATCCATTATACATTGACCCACGTGTAACCTATTGTACAGCAGAGCGACATCCACTTACCCGCTATTTTAAATATAATATATTTTATATAAGCATAAGGTTGCCAGATTTTGAAATTGTCAAACAGTGGACATCATATTGAATATCCTTTTTTTATTTTGCTTATATGCAAATAAGTATATCGTTTTTTTGTATAAATATTTATTAGCAAATGCAATTTTTTTAAATTAATTTACTACTATTGTCATTACTTATTATTATTTATATTATCTAATATTGATACTCTACTTTTGAACGAATTTTGGAAAAAAAGGATGATAAAAACAATAATATATAATATTTCAATATTAATAATCATTTTTATCTTAGTATACAAATATTGTATTTCTTTTCCTGTTTAGGTTATATTGTACAACTAATATTTTAGATAATATTAAATATATATTTTAAAGTTTAAAATTCTTAAATAAGAACAACCAGCAGGCAGGTACAACATTATATCACTGGGAATCATATCTATAAAAAAAAAAATAGTCTAGCATAGTTTAATTTTCTCTCAGCTTCTATTAACAGGGACAAAATTAATGACAGGACGTTAAAACACAGTTATTCGATGACCAGAGATAACCTCCATCGTGTGATACAGTTTATACAGTATCCCCGATTCCTCTGACGATCAAACACATTTTCATAGAATGTCAAAATTTCGAACGTTACTACAAGCAATTTCACATCTCTGAGCAAACCAACCAAGCCGACCTTCGAGATATTATAATGAACCTTTTTTAATTTCTTAAAAAATCCATTTCGTGCAATTTAACATAAATTGAATGTATAATATCTTTAATGTACTTCAATGAAGTACTACTTCATATTATACTAATGGCCCAAAAAAAGAATAATATTATTTTGTTTAAGAGGTACAACATAATACAAAGGCAATGTGTGTGTACAAGTGTTTTCAATAGAATTATCGATAATTAATAACCAAAGAAATTCCTTATACCTACACGAGTGAATTTATGTGTGGGTTTTTAAAATATTTCAGGTGTTTCTCTATGGGCGATTGTATACGATGGATTTCAATTTCTTTGAATAAAAGTGTTTTATAAAACAGAAGTAAGAAAAGCTGTCAATTTTTAACTGGAACTGTGTGGCCTGAACTCAACTAATCATATATTATTATTCCATCAAGTTTTGGTTGACAAATTGTTTTGTTTTTTTTTTTTTAATTATATTATATTACACTTTTAATACCTAACTAGAAACTAGTGATTACGTTTATAACACTTTAACTAAAAGAACGAGTTTTGGATAGTTTAATTTTTATTATAACACAGCGTTATTCACTGAGCATGCAAACTCCCTTTCTTTTCTACAATAATGCAGTTATTTCGAAACTAATTTTTAGAATTTTTAAATATATACTTTAATATCACATTTTCTAATAATTGAGATATTTTGTACTACTGAAGGAGTGTCCTGTGGAAATACAAACATCTGTTTTTCAAAAGAGCATACCCCTTTTCAATTGTAAATTATACAGTGGGTAATTTTTTCTGAACATTGTTACGTATCAGAATAAAAATTCGTAGTTTTCGAGTTATTTAACTTAATAAAAGGACCATATTAATGGAATTGTAAGATATAAGAGGCTTTGGTAATTTTACAACTTTAGTCAATTTTATTAACCTATTAATATTAATAGTTTGTAAAGATGGCCAAAGTATAATAATTACTATATCCAATCTTAAATATATTTTTATATTTTTCTAAGACCATTTTTATGGACTATTATTCTAAGTACAAACATTGTAATTACTAAAAAAACAACACACTCAAATTTTGAATAAAGTACGTCAACATTTTCAAAAAAAAATATCCACTAAATAATTTACAGTTAAAATGGGGGGTTCTCATTTGAAACACAGAACACTCCTTAAGTAGTACAAAATAATTCATGAATTTTAAAGTACGGTCTTTGAGTGTATTTAAAAATTCCAAAAATCAAAATTTGAATAAATTTATTATTAAAGGATACAATGTACACTAAGTACATATTTGTATATTATCTAACTTTGTTTACCGATTTTGTGTTTTATTTTTGTTCAAAAACCGACTCAGATGTAGGTGTAATAACAAACAGAAGACTTCTTTTATCGGGGTTTAACTTTCAAACGATTTTCAAGAATGAAAAAAAAAATGAAAAAAAAAATACCGACCTACCTTCTGCAGTTATAAATTATAACCGTAAAAACAGTTTGTTCTAACTTATTGTAAAAACTTGGAGTTGGCAACGTTGATGGTAGTATTTAATACGTGCAGAGAGGTGAACTCGGAACTTACACATTTATATTTTATGTATAATATATATATATATATAGTAATAATAATATGCGTACATATTATATTATACTTCTACCAACAAAACTTTTATTTTTCGGTCGTTATTTTCGTTTTGTTTTTCAACAAATTAAGTTTTGTTTATTATGTGGTTTATGTAACATCAGTATAATATATTATATTCCTAACGAATGATTATAATTTATTATTTCTGGTGTTCTTATTTTAAGACCGGCAAACAACAATGGTGGGCAAGTTAATGAAAATAATTAACTGTGGCAAGTTAAGTTAATTCAATTAAATTTCCTTCAGTTAAGTTAAAAGTTAACAAAGAAAAAAAAATTAACTAGATAAGTTTAAAGTTAAGATAGAAAATAAAATTAACTTATCTCAGTTAAAAAAAAGTTAATTTTTTTGAAGGTATAATATTTTTAAGTCATACACTACCATAGTATTTTGTTATACACAAACATTTACCAAGACATTTAACACTGTGTAAGAAAGTAGATTATTATAATATATAATTCGAAAATAAATTATCTAAATCGTAAAAGTCGACAAATCAATATTGCCTAGTTGATAACGCATGACTCAAAAAGAAAATTAACTTAACTGCACAACAATGATAATTAGCTATAAAAAGTGAAGTTACAACAGTAAAAAATTTAACTGAATAAGTTTATAAGTTAAAAACAAAAATAATTAACTAGTTAAGTTAAAAAGTTAAAAAAAAATTAACTTTTTAACTTAACTTTAACTTATTAACAAGTTAATGCCCACCTTTGAGTTTTAGCCACCCTTATCTATCATACTGCAGCTGCAGTGTAGCATCCAGAAAAATGCAAGGCCCGAAAGTATAATAAAAGATGACCGTCGTCAAAGTTCCCCTGGAGTCCCTCATTCCGCGAAAGTATGGGTATCACGAGGCCACGTCCTATTGGCTAAATGTTCATCAACAAATTAGATGATTACTAGGTAACAATTATTTAGTTAATATTTTTTGAACACTTTCTACAACCACAAGCCGGAGCAAAAACGTTTAACTGTTATAATATTTGTTACCTAGGTATTTCATAAACGCGCCTACATAGGTAAATAATATCAAAATATATTTTTACAAGCAAACTGAAAACGAACGCTGAGAAGAAAAAAATTGTACGAAAACCGTTCCATCGTTCGACATGTCTGAACCCGAACGGCAGCCATCTGCGTCGGAACCGTTCTTCGACGGTGACGACGACGACGATGACAATACTCTCAACGGCCCGAAGCGGCACCGTCGAAGGACGGCGAGGACGGTGACGCCGCCGCCCACTGGCCCGCGCTACCTGCAGAACTGTTAGCCGAGGTGCAGGCCGCCTTCGCCATGTTCAGTGACGGCAGCGGCCGGATGAACGTCAGGAACCTGTACATGGCGCTGCGAGCGGTCGGCGTGTACGCGACCGACGAAGACGTCATCACCGTGGTCGACGAATACGACCCGACCGGCCGCGGTTACATCACCGGAAACCAGTGGGCGGCGTCCGTGGCGCGCCGATGGGCCGAAGACGGGGCCCGGCGTCGGCGGTTCCGCGCCATGCTTGAAGACCCGAAGTCCACCGGACAGGTGACGGTCGACCACGTGCTCACCGTGCTCAAAGAGTTCGACCCAAACTTGTTGACAGACGTGGACGCGAACGAGATGGTGGCGGAGATGGACCCTGCCGGCTCGGGACTGGTCGACTACGACCAGTTCATGGACACCTGCATGGTCCGGCCGGCCCCGCTTGACGCAGCAATGTATAATTATTCCTAGTCACAGTCCGTCCACGATTCGTTTTGTATTATTATTATACAGTAGAAACCGTTTATAATGACGTTCAAGGGACCAAAGAAAATAGGTCATAATAACCGGTTGTCATTATAACCAAAATGACGAAAAAAAAATTGTAACTTCAATACATATTATTATTATTTTGTATTTATTTATGCGCAATGTATAGTATAGAAAAAAATAATAAAGTAAGTAATAAAATAAGTAAAAAACATTTAATTATGTACACACATATACATTTGAATTAATTAGTTCAATTATTATTTAAAGAAATCTGTTATTTTAGATTGAACTGTGTTAGTATAGAAATCACGCTCTATTTTTTTTTTCTAGTTCTTCAAAATTTATCTTTGGACTTACGTTATTCAGAGCCATATAATTTGCTAACATCTTTACTGCATTGAACACTGCATTAATAGATAAATCTCCATCGGGAGTATCAAACTGACGACTAAACAACGATGAAATTATCGGTATTGTCGGTATTGTAATAGTACCTTTGATTAAGTAAAGTCATTATAGATAAAATATTTTTCCAATATAACAAAAAATAACCGTCATAACATCCGTATAGTCACTATACAGATGTCATTATAATCGATACAAATTAGTACATACAATATAGGAGTTTTGCCGGGACATGCAATCTAAGGTCATTACACCCAGTATGTCATTACAACCGGTGTCATTATAAACGGTTTCTACTGTATTATATATTATAAATACAAGTAACTGTACTTCGGTAAGTTTGTATAAACTACCCACGGCCACTTTCTATATACCTACCTATTTCGTTTTGTGCAGTTAAAATGTATTTAACTCTGTGGACTGTTGAGAGTTGGTATTCTTATTTTATAATAAACCTAGGTATCTGGTAAGTGTTGTACCGGTAATATATTACAGTTTATTAGTCATTCGTCCGTAAGTCCTATGCCTGAACCAGCGGTCACAAAATGGCGGCCCGCGGACAAATTTTATCCGGCCAGCAGACAATGAAAAAAAAAGTAAAAACCCATAATAAAGTACATAGGTAGGTTTAGTGGCCTTGCCAATTTGTTTGCCACCACCCGCCGGACAATAGCTGTTTTTAAAGTTTTCGTCATTAGATATGATAGAGACTTCACAAAAGTCTGATCATTTGCCGAACAATTTCCAAAAGTAGGGAACTTCGTAAATCAAATATTGAGAACATACATATTATAAAATATTAAGTAGGTAGGTACACGAATCATATAATATTATTATGAACAATTTCAAGCAGTTAGTTGAGAGCAAGAATTGCCATTTTTCCCAATAATTTTAACCCAATTTTCTATTTATATCATAATTATTTTAACATTTCTATTTTATTTTAATTAATTATTATTTTATTTATTTTTATATTAACGCCACTAGGCCACTATGTAGTATGTTACTTTTCCATTTTAATATAATACCAATGTTTAAAAAATTTGCTTTGAATATTTTGATGGCTCCCGAAAGTCGTCAAATTCCCAATGTAGCCCTCCAAAAATATGAATTGGTGTTACGTGGCCTAAATTATACAGGCGAAGGTTAATAATTTTAAATGGTAGGTAATTGTGATCATACGTGTAAAAATTTAAACGAAATAAACAAATAACAAAATATAAACGAATAAGATAAAAAGTAAAAAACATAATAAGGCAATATACAATAATTGTATAACGATAACAGTCTTGAAAGTTGAAACTCGAGAATTTTTTCACTGGCGGCGAATTGAACTGTTCATGTGATGAGTTTTGTTAAATTATTTGGCATTTCGTAAGCAACCGGAATCGAAACGGAATATAATTCAAATCTTTAAATGACGCAAAATACTACTCGATATAGGTATAGCCGTATATAGGTAACTGGTAACTATCTAGTAACTGCTGCAAGACCGTGTCTCCGTAGTCCGTATAGTGTTATCAACGAAAGGGTTGCGGTTTTCAAGCCTAAGTTCATAATAAGGTATAGGTGTTATGTGTACACGGATGTAGAATATAACATACGTATAGCTGCGAGCACACGAGACGGAAGAGAGAGAGGACGAAAGACGGCTATATAATATGCAAGCTACGGACCGGCGATAAAACCGAGAAAAAAAACCCACCCCATCGAACTAGTCTTTTGGAGAAAAGGGTTTTAACCCCCCCTCGACACCGGCATAATATTATACAATACCTATATACAAATGGGACAAGAGTGAAGAGGGGACTGACGGGTGTCACCGCTGCGGAGTGCGACTACCCGCGGGGCGGCGGTTGACGATATAAAAACGTCCAAACTGTACACAATAATAATAATAATAATATAATAAGGTGAGGAGGTATGTATAAATAAGCGACGGGACGCGAAGAAGTTTTTCTCGACGGACGCGTCCGGTGACAACGGTCGGCCGAGTACGATCGGCGGCCGCCGGTCTGGTATGCGTGCGCGTCGTATAATACGATATGTAATGATACGCATTATTACTACGCGCCACATAAACTATACGATGATGGATGGTCGGAGCTGCGACGAAAAAAGGCTGCGGCGCACAGTGGTCTGTATTGTAAATTAGCTTACATTAATTAATACCTTCTTAATATGAGTTAAAAAAATTATGTTAAATATCAATTCTAATCGTTTTTAACATGCTGAATCCAAATTTCTTATCAGTTCTTAAATCAGCCCCTAATTAGGGGTAAAAATAGCTACTTTCCTAAATTTTTATAAAACTTGTTTATTGAACATCAATTAATTTACATGTTCTAAGGGTGTATCCAAATATAATATTTATTCTGTAATCAACCCCTAGTTATGGGTAATAGGGGATGTAATTAATTTTTAAAATTAAATTAAATACATTTATCAATATTTAACATTGTAAGTAATATAACTATAAAAAACTATGTTAACAATATATTATAGTAACGTCACTATCACATAATGTCACTATCACTATCACAATCACTGTTCAAATTTGTTTCGTCTAACTGCATTACATTCAATAACGGTTTAGCTTCATTTGATAAGTCTTGTAAATTTTTTTTTTGGAAGTAATCTTATGGTCGATATTAAACTGTCAGATGATATCAATAACACATGTAAGAGGTCTTCGTTACTGTTTATTCTTGAATTTTTTCTTGTGTGGTGTCTTCTGTACATTTTGTAATCTTTATTTCGAGATTCTTGGGCCTCCTCTAGTCCTCTGATTGTAATACTATTGTATAACTATTTAAGCCAGCATTTATTTTATTTGTGTACTCAAGCATCCAATTTTTCCCATCATACTTCTCACATAACTTTTTAAACAAAAATTCTCTAGACTGTTTGGACTGGGGATTTAGTGGTCCGTTTCCTCGTAATAAATTAAATAAATCATTGTAAGTGAAATTCTGATTTCTTAAATCACAACTACAACTCGCTAAAATAAAATAATTAAAAATAAAATATTATTATTGAAACGGCTTTTTTTCCTAAATTTTCTAACAAGATATTACACATTTGAAAAAATTATGCCAAGTTAATACGCAAGTATACGCAAAAAAATTATATTAGGTTAAACACCCAAGAGTATGTAGAATATTATAGATATGTAGAATATGTAGAATAGTTTTGTAACAGTAATAATTAGTAATTTATTAGTGATACCTTTTTAAGTTCTAATAATAACAATTAACCATAATAAATAAAACATCGTTGTATCAACTACCTACATCATAAAAAACATAAAAATAATATTATTAATACACTTACCTTCTGCAAAAATGTCCATACTTCAGGTTTCAAAAAGAAAAATTATAACTTAAGTACATGCACATCACACAGATCGCTAAACGTGAAAGACAGAATAATGCGTGGTATGGCCTCGTTGACCGACATTTCTGTTCCCTAATCGTAATTTTATTGGCTTCATAAGATATAACAGTTTCTCATAATATGAAATATTGTTCAATTAGGTAATCAGTTTTAATAATTTGATATCAAATAATACAATAAACGTACTCTTAAAAATAGGTTTTGGCAAGCTAATTTACAATACAGACCACTGTGCGGCGGCGTCGTCGTCGGACAACAACAAAACGGGCATTATTTCGGATATATTTTTTTTCCTCTACTCGTTTTGATTGATTGCCCGGGCACGGGGTGCCGGTTGTTCTTCGCTCGTCCCCTCCACGCGACCGAATTCGATATTCCGCGAGCGCTCGCGCCTCGGAGCGGTTCACACGACGGTTGACGGGTCGTTAACGTTGAAAAAAAAAATGAAGTACTACTTATTTTTATACGGGTCGGTTTTTTTGTATTTTCGTCATTGAATTTTCACATGCGATTCGGTCGGATATAGGTAGGTAAGTAGGAGAAATTGGGTATGATGAGTTTTGTCGAAAAACCTCGCCAACAGACATCATAGGACAAACCAATTGATACATTTAGTTGCCGATTAACCTCCGAGAATACACTATTTAGTCGTTTATTTTCGTTTACTCGTACATTTTGTGAAGATGGCATACTGGACAAATGAAAATCTATTAAAACTTAATGAAATATATCCTAGTAAGGAAATTATATGGGACCCTTACAAACAAAAATCATTATAATAAGATTTTAAAAAATGACTCTTGGAATGAAATAGCAAGTAAAAAAAAAATAAAAACATTTTCCATCAATGTAAGTATGTAACCGTAATGGACAGAATTAAATTTGAATTCAATGATATATACTATATAATAATGTCAGTCTAGAGTACTACACCATTGTACTAACTAGGTACAAAATAATTTAGTTTTAATTTAATACATTTTGTTAAAATTTTCACTTTTTTAACTTAATCTTGATTTTAAATAATGCAACAATATTTTCACACTTTCCTAGATTATTCACAAATTTTATTAAATATAGAAATTGTCTTAACAAATACTTATAGGTGTTCATATGGTAGGTACTGGACACTGGATTTAAAGTGTCAAATAACTATAATGCTGTCTTCAATCATTAGG